TAGGGTTTAGGGTCTAGGGCTTAGGGTTTAGGGTTTAGGGTTTATCTCTCTCTCTCTCTCTCTTGGGGGGGGGGGGGGGGGGAGGGGCGGGCCTTGGAGGTACCTATCGTTACCGTGCCCACCCACACACACACTCAGTAAGGCTTCCAGGTATTCAGGGTTTCACTGCCGGGGCTCTTGACTCAAGGATTTGTGGGGTTTAGGGTTTAGGGTTTAGGGTTTAGGGTTTAGGGTTTAGGGTTTAGGGTTTGGGGTTTAGGGTTTAGGGTTTTAGAGTTAGGGTTTAGGGCTTAGAGTCTTGGGGCCGACTAGCAGACTCTGGGTGCTTGGAATGCAGGAATTGAAGTTCAGGGCCAAGGGGTTTCGGGGCTCAGGATTGTGGCTTCGTTTAAGAACTAAGCTATAGTTTAGGACTATAGTTCATGGTTGGGTTCAAAATTAGGGTTTAGGAGTGTGGCTTCGCTTATGCGTGTAATATAGGGGCCTTACTAGTTAGACTAGGGTATTGGGGGGAGAATAATTATAGGGACCATGAGGGGATACTATTACTAGTGAACCCTAGTAAGTGCTGCTAGTCAATGGTGCAAGTTCATCAATTACGCCATCAACGGCTGAGGGTTTGGGGCTGCGGGTTTTTTTTCTCATTTCAATCTTGCGGGTCTTCACCCCTTCAAACCTTAGCCCTGGGGCTTCTAGGTTGTGGTTCAGTTCCACATAGACTGCGTACGTCATTTCACCTGACGCCCTGTGTAGTAGTAACCTGGAGAAAACAAGCTACGGTACTGCTGGGTGTCTTCATGAACCAATCCCATCTGACAAAAGTAGATCCAAGCCAAACCGGCCCTAAACCTAAAGTGTGCGTGTACCCCCAAACCCTAAAGTCTAAACCCTAAACCCTATTCCTCCCACCGATACACTACGCTGAAAGCCCTCAGTCTCATTTACCTCGTAGTTCTCAACTCTGCAACACCATCAAAGAGCCCTCAGCCTGATAATATGCCGCCCCGCAACTTTCGGGGTTTAGGGTTTAGGTTTAGGGTCTAGGGTTGAGGATGTATATAGGGCCCTCAGCCCTACAGCGCCGGCGTGGGTTTAGGGCTTAGTGCTGCAAAAGCAGGATGAGCAACCCGAAACCCTGAAACGGGGGGGGGGGGGGGGGAGGGCTTACCCTAAACCCTCAACCCTAAAGGGGGATCAGGGCGCAAGCGCAAGCTCTTTCTTTTCTCTAGCGAATGCAGATCTACCGAGCCGGTTAAGGACCAGCTTGAGGTGGAAAGTTTAGCTTTTTTACGCTATGTCAAAACCAACAAGGGTTTAGGTTTTAGTTTTAGGATTTGGGGCTTATAGGGATGTGTGTATATGTATGTATATCTATATATATATATATGTATATATATATATATATGTATGTATATATATATATATGTATGTATGCATGTATGTATGTGTACTTGTTTAGCATATTCATGTAGCTATATACATTGACACTGAGGTTCAGATTTATCTTGAATTCGTATCTACACATGACAAATGTTCACATAATCAAACAAATAAATGAATATGTATATATATATATATAGATATACACATACAGAGAACAGTCCACCTATATGGATTTGTGTGTATATATAATGGAAACAGTCTCCCCGCAAAAAAAACTAAACTCGTGTTGGCAATGAGGTTTTCTGGTTGAAGTGCGTTTCTCCAGGACGAAGCAAAAACACAAGCGCATGTCCCTCACAAGACCCCAATCCACAAACCCAGAACGAAACGCAAAAAGAAATGAAGGAAGGCCATTCTCCTCACCCTGAGGACTAGCGGCAGGATTTGTTTTTTTTGTATGATTGCCTTGTGTTTGTGCTTGTTGGGGGGATGTCGCTTATTGTTCTTGTCTGCTTTGTTGCTTTCTGGTATGTTTTTGATGTGCTTTGGGGTACAGTAAAGCGAAGCAAAGGCACGTCTTCTCCTTCCCTTGGCCTTGCCGGGGCCGGGTGGCACCGTAGTATGCTATCAATGGTAAACATAAGTATATGGTCTATGCTATATATATATATATGCATACAAAGTACATATATGTACGTGCATAAATAAAAAAATAAATACATATATATATATATATATGTATGTAACAAACATGTCTCAAAAGGAGAAAGGGAAGACATTATGTATGTAGATCCTCTTCTAAATCTTAAAGGACACTTCCCACCTGACGGCGTCCGACTCCGGTGCAAGGTGTGGGGTTTAGGGGTTTGAATTCTGACTCCTTCAGGCCACTTTCCCTGGACCCTAAACCCTAAACCCTAAACCCTAAACCCTAAACGCTAAACCCTAAACCCTAAACCCTAAACCCTAAACCCTAAAGCCTAAACCCTAAAGCCTAAACCCTAAGCCCTAGGTAGGATAAGGGGGGCCCTTGAAATCGAACCCTTGGAACCCCGTCTTCTGGACCTCTTGAACAGGGACCTTCTTCAGAGGGTCTATATCCCCAAGGGTCCCCCTAATCCGATCCCCTAAACTAGTAGGATGGCTCTGAAAACCCAGAGGAACATATTCCTAAACATGACCCTCTTAAACCCAATCAGGGGAAATATGAAACATCCCATGGGCCTGCCTAGTAGCCCTAAGCCCTAAGCCCTAAGCCCTAAACCCTAAACTACCTTACAATGCCATACATTAATGAAGGGTATCTTTGGCCCCTTGTTGGAACTTACCTGGGAGGGGTTGGCAAAACCCTGTAGCCCCCTAACCAAACCCCAAGCCTAAACCCCTTCAAGCACTCAGTAAACGCCCAAAAGCCTAAACCCCTTCAGCCCCTCTACTTAAACCCTAAACCCTAAACCCTAAACCCTAAACCCTAAACCATAAACCCTAAACCCTAAACCCTAAACCCTAAACCCTAAACCCTAAACCCTAAACCCTAAACCCTAAACCCCTACCCCGCTCTGACCCCGAAACCTTGCCTCCCCTGAGCCACGCCGCGCTCTCAGGACAGGCCTTGCACACGGCAGAGAAAATGACAAGGAGGCTTAAGTGTATTGTCTAGGGCATACCTGGAGAGGGTTTAGGGTTTAGGGTTTAGGACTTAGGGTTTAGGGTGTTTAGGATACTTGAGGTGAGTGTAGGGTGTGAAGGGGCTTGGGGTGAGGAACCCTGAACCCTAACCGCGGGACGACTTCAAAAGCGGGGTCCTGCTCTGATGCACACCCGACCCTAGACTTAGACCCCAAACCCTAAACCCCAAACCCCAAACCCCAAACCCTAAACCCTTTACGGACACCTCAGCTCCTCACCCAAAAGTTGGCTGGTGCGGCATTGGTCCGGCAGAGCCTCGGCCACCCGGAAGTGCTCCTGGGGTTTAGGGTTTAGGGTTTAGGGTTCAAGGCTCCGGGTTTAGGGTTTCGGGTTTAGGGCTTAGGGTTTTCAGTTCATGGCAAATTTCGGGGCCTTGATGATTAGAATAGGGTTTTGGAGGTTATTCACGTACATTTATAAAGGAACCATAAAGGAAACCAGGTGTCCCGTGTTAAACTCGTCTGTGTCCCAAGTAGTGCTCTGCATTTAAGCCCTAATCAAACCCTAAACCCTAAACCCTGAACCCTGAACCCTAAACCCTAAACCCCAAACCCCAAACCCTAAACCATTTTGATGCTCCTGTGGCGTGATGCCAAGCCGTAGGCGAGCCTGACGAAGTGCTTCCTCCAGCCTCGTGCGGCGTGGGGTTAGCATGCTCGGGAACCCTCACGTATGCTTGAAACCCTCAACCCTCATAACGTAAATCCCTAAACCCCTAAACCCCTAAACCCCTAAACCCCTAAACCCCTAAACCCCTAAACCCCTAAACCCTAAACCCTAAACCCCAAACCTAAGCCCTTCCCGCGCTTCCCATGCCCAGCTGCCCAACAACTGCCCTGGTGAACTTTGAGCCCAAAAGATTGCCTGAACCCTAAACCCTAAAACCCTAAACCTAAGCCCTTAACCCTCAACCTCTAAACTCTAAAAGCCTAAAACAAATAAAAAAACCCTAAGCCCGAACATAGCACAGCTGAGACGAGTGGCTTGAGCACGGCGGGAGTGCCACCCACTTCTGGAACCGCCGGAGGCGGCCAGATGCCTCATAGCTTCTTGGGCTCGGGTTTAGGGTTTAGGGTTTAGGGTTTAGGGTTTAGGGTTTAGGGTTTAGGGTTTAGGGTTTAGGGTTTAGGGTTTAGGGTTTGGGGTTTAGGGTTTAGGGTTTAGGGTTTAGGGTTTAGGGTTTAGGGTTTAGGGTTTAGGGTTTAGGGTTTAGGGTTTAGGGTTTAGGGTTTGGGCTTTGGGGTTTGGGGTTTGGGCTTTGGGGTTTGGGCTTTGGGGTTGAGGGTTGAGGGTTTAGGGTTTAGGGTTTCCCCCAAGGGTCCATGTACTTAAATGGGGAGTACTTGGGCCTTAAGGTACCTCCTATACAGGGACTTTGGGGCCCAAGTATACAATATCAAGGGACTAAACGAGGGACCCTTACGTCATTTAGGGGTTATTTAGGGGTTATTTAGGATTGGGGGCTACTTGGGTACATAGGGACGATATAAGTGTGTGTAGATATTTATATATATAAATATAATTATAAATATAAATATAAATACAAATATAAACATGATGATGAATTTAAAAATAAAAATGAATAAAGAGATAGTACTTATCTAGGGGTGATATAGGGGGGGGAACAAGCTTAGGAGTCTCTCGAAGGGGGGTCCCTCCTTTTACCCCTCTACAAGGATGAGGTAGCATGGGCCCTTAGGGTAAGGACTCTTCTCAAGGTTCAAAACTCCAAAGCCAAAACCCGAACTGTGCATTGAGCAAGCATGGGTTCCCTTTCATTCCCAGACCATTGCTTTGCGCAACTTCGGATTAGACGCCTCTTCGAGCCCTCAGTCGTGCCATCCTCGGCCCTCGGCAATGCCCGCCCTGCTTGCCGACGCTCTCGATCGGCACATCTTGTCACACGAAGACATGGCATGCCCACCCCCTCAGCGTGCGCAAAAGGTCCGCCGCCTCTTCTGCTCTCCTGGCTCCTCTGCCGCAGGGGTCTCGGGCTGCCCGAGTAGCTTGCGCACAGCTGCAGGAACAGTGCCCTTCTTCAGCATGGCCTTGACTTTTGCATTTGTGGACCCGAAGGTCCTGCAAGCTCGTTGCAATGGCTCAAGGTCCATGAGCACCGCCGCCTCGGCGATGGCGACGAAACTGGACGGCGCAATCATCTTCTGCAGCATGGCCGAGAGAACCGATACCCAGCCAAGGACCTGCCAGCGATGTGCCCAATCCAGGGCCACCAGCCCCATCTTATAATCAGGCTCCTCGCGCGTCGAGCTCGTGTACAGCATGTCCACGAAGAGCCGCACGCCAGTGCTCGTGGCGTCCTTGACTGGAATGCGCTTGCTGGAGCCCTCCTTCATGGTCGACGCCAGCATGGCCTTCAGAACGGGGGACGCCGCAGTAAGGATGAGGTCATGAGCCGACACCTCACCATCCGCTGCTTCGAAGACCACCTTGGTATGCGAAAGTAACCACATTGTAGCTTCGTTGTCCAGTATCCTAGGGGAACTAAAGGTTAATCTTTGGGATTAAAAAGGGATCATATTGCCCCCAAAAAGGTTAAAGGTTACCTACTCTACTACTAAGGTAGCAAGTGCAACCTTTTTTGGGGATATGGCTGTTTTATATAAGAGAGCCTTCCAACCCTAGACCCCCCCAAAAAAGCACACCAAGCCACATTGTGAGTGGAGTCCATCTCCCGCACGGACTCCCACATGTCCACCAAGCTCTGGGGCACCGAAAGGTTTTTGCATTTCGGGGAGCTGCCCTCCGCCAGGATCGCCAGGATCTGTTCCACCTCAGTGACGCGGGCTGACCAGTTTGCACCACCTTTGCCCTTGCGCATTTCCGCAATCATCGCAAAAGCGAAAGTGAGAGCAGAAAGCCCAGCCAATTCAATTCGGATTTTGGTATCCTCCGGATTGTCATTTTTGCTTAGAACCCAAACGGGCTCTGTGTTGGCCGGATGCTTTTGCAGCGGATCCGCTCCCGCTTCAATCATCCACTCAAACATCGCCGGAGGAGGAAGTGCGGTGTTGGAAAGGGCGGCAGATAGTGGCAATATGCCCTGATGGCCAAAAGTCTGAGACCAATCAAAATCGTCCGGGGTGAATTTCTTCAAAGCATCGAAATTACCCAGCTGGATGAAGCCATACACTGCCTCAGCCACACTCGTGGCGGCCATGTGTGCTTGTGTAGCAAGGACGAGTTCAACTGTATGGTGCAAAAATTATCACAAAAACATGTTGGACCCTAAACGCTAAACTCTCAGACCCCATTTACATGGAGCAACCATTCCAAACTCGCTGACGTTAACACTTCAAACCCTAAACCCTAAACACCCTGGTGAAACCCTAAACATGCAAGTCCTGAATGCTGTTTGCCGGCATGCTGGAGGCCTCACATGACATGAACTGAGGGTTTAGGGGTTTAGGTGCTCTAACTGCTGCTGTCACAGATGCCTCAGAGCACTGCATTGCGACGCCAGAGTTCATGAAGCAAGTTTGAGATGTTTGCATTTCCCAAAACAGGGGGGGGGGGGGGTTGCCCCCCTTTATGCCCCAATAGAATAGAAGCCCCTAAAAGGGACACCCCCCCCCCCCCCCCCTCCAAAATGGTGGCCCCTACTTTCTCGGAAACCCTAAACCCTAGATCCTAAAAACCTAAGACCCTAATATACTAAAACCCTAAAACCCTAAAACCCTAAAACCCTAAAAAACCTAAAACCCTAAAAACCTAAAACCCTAAAACCCCGAACCCTAAAACCCTAAAAACCTAAAACCCTAAAACCCTAAAACCCTAAAATCCTAAAACCCTAAAACCCTAAAACCCTAAAACCCTAAAAACCTAAAGCCCTAAAACCCTAAAACCCTAAAAACCTAAAACCCTAAAACCCTAAAACCCTAAAACCCTAAAACCCTAAAACCCTAAAACCCTAAACCCTAAACCCTAAACCCCCACTTGTAGGGTTCTTGCATTTCAAGCCTTTTGAGCAGAGTGACGGAGAGCACATGGGCATGGTCCAACCTTTCAATCTCCTTTCGGGCTGACGAGAGGCGGGGGCAGGGGGAAGGGGGAGGGGGGAGGGGAGGGGAGGGGGAGGGGGAGGGGGGGGGGGGGGCGGAGGGGGGGGAGGAGGGGGAGGGGGCGGAGGGGGGGGGGGGGACGGGGGGGGGGCGGGGCAGGGAGCGCGACCTGGTTTGAAACAGTTGAGGGTTCAGGGCAGGGCTCAGCGAATATCCCACAGATGCTCATTGTCCTTAGGCTTCTTGTGGGTTTTCTCACGGCCCAGAGACTGTTTCTGGCGTTGTCCAAGGCATGGATGATGATGCTGAGGGGCGTGTTAGGATCGAACGCAAACGCGAACGCGAACGTGCGAAAGGGGGGTGGGGGGGGGGGGCGGGGGGCGGGGGTGCACTAAGACCTTATGAAGCTTCAACAAACCCACAAGCCTAAACCCGAACTGTTGTCGCAGAGTTGCTGAAAAGGGCTCTTGAGGTTGAATCTTTTCGGCATCAGCAACTAACTACATGACATCTTTGCCTAAAGAGGATTGTAAACGGAACCTCACCCTTATAAAGTACGAGAATGAGGATGCTGCTGGAGGCAGCCTAGGGTAAGAACCCTAGATCAAAAACACTTTCAAGCCGGTGGGGGATTTAAGAGTTTAGGGTTTACAGGGTTTATATGGTTTATAGGGTTTATAGGGTTTAGCGTTTAGGGTTGGAACGTTCCCACCTCATCCCATGATTAAGGTCTTAAGGATTGAGGGGGCTTTGGGCCTTAAGGGGAGTTGAGGGTTTTGGGACTCAAAGGTTTCATGTGATGGCGTACAAGGGTTTCTCGAGGTCCCTGACATGAAAAAGCTCTAAACCTTAAACCCGAATCCCATTTTTAAGGGGAATCAAGGCGTTTTACCAGAACCCTAAACCCTAGACCCTGGACCCTAAACCCTAAACCACAAACCCTTTACGGAAGCATCTCATGTGAGCCCAGGTGGCGGCTCATGGTTCGTCGCGTGGTCTTCGGCGCCGCGGTGTTCGCAGCCGCTTGTGAGGCGAAGCAGGTCTGCGGGTCAGGTTTTAGGAGTTTAGGATTTAGGGTTTAAAGTTCAGGGTTCAGGGTCTAGGGGCAGTTTAAGGTGCGGGTCAGGTGTTAGGATTTGAGGGTTTCCGAAAACAGGGTACCTCATTCGGGGTCTTTAAACGTAAGGGAATCCCCCTAAACCCTAAACCCTAAACCCTCAACCCTCAACCCTAAACCCTAAACCCTAAACCTACTATTTGGGGGCCCATCTTCTTCATGGTCCTGCCGAAGTGCGCGGCGTGCCTAGCAGGCGTGCTTATGGAAGCTGCATTTTTTAAACCACAACTTTTTCCATAACTGACTACCCTAAACCCTAAACCCTAAACCGTAAACCGTAAACCCTAAACCCTAAACCCTAAACCCTTTTCTTGAGGGCATTCTTGGCACGCTCGCACGCACGCCCTAAACCCTGCACCCTCTGTGGGGAAATGCCCATGCAGAGATCAGGGCTTAGGGTCCGAGTGTGTGAGTCTAGGGTTAGGGTTTAGGGTTTAGGGTTTAGGGTTTAGGGTTTAGGGTTTAGGGTTTAGGGTTTAGGGTTTAGGGTTTAGGGTTTAGGGCTATGAAGGCCTACCTGAAGGCTCATGGGTAGTTAGAACAAGTGATTCGGGTCCAAGGTCTACTTCCAAGGTTCATGGGAAGTTGTATACAGGGCCCGTAAACCCGAAACCCCAAACCCTAAATGCATCATCCGGTCTTACTGCTCCAATAACCAAGGGAAAAACAAGGTTAAACTTTATGATTCCTACTAAGTAGGGAAAACCCAAAAAGTTTAAAGTTCAGCTGTTGGAGAAGTAAGAGGTTCTGCCCAGCAGCTACCCAAGAGCCTTCGAGCAAACCTCATGCAGACCGTTTAGGCCTTGAGGCCTGCAGGGCATGGCACCCAAACCCTCTAAAACCCAAAACCTTTGAGGTTGCAGATGAGTACTGTCTAGGGCTTTACGGGATGTAGGGTGCTTGGGGATTGGGAAGATGAGATTTCCAGGGTTTAGCGGGACATGGGATGGTCGTAAGTACGTAAGGCTTAGGGCCGAGGGCGACGCTCTATTTCTGCCTACCTGCAACGAACCTCCAATTAGGCCCCAAACCCCAAATCCCACACCCTAAACCCCAAGCAACCCTAAACCCTAAACCCTAAACCCTAAACCCTAAACCCTAAACCCTAACCCCCAAACCATGACTTCGCGGGCCATCTCCAGGACGGCGCTGTATTCCAGAAGCCTGGAAGCCGAATCGCTGGCCACGACCTGGCGATGAGCTCGGGATTAGGGCTCGGGGTTTGGGGTTTGGGCTTTGGGCTTTGGGGTTTAGAGTTTGGGGTTTGGGGTTTAGGGTTTAGGGTTTAGGGTTTAGGGTTTAGAGTTTGGGGTTTAGGGTTTAGGGTTTGGGCTTTGGGGTTTAGGGTTTAGGGTTTGCGGTTTACCCAGAGTAGCCTTTGCAGCCGTTTAAAAGGACCTGTACCTTAGTTGCTGTGTCTATTTACCCTTATTTGAGCTACAAGGCTACTCTCGGTAGGGTTTGGGGTTGAGGGTGCAGAGTTTAGAGATCCAGGGCCTAGGGCGGTTCGGTAGCCTGGGAGAAAGAAGGCACTCTTTCTTGGGACTCACGGAGCTTTACAAGGGATCCTAGCCCTAACGGGTTTAGGGTTTAGGGTTTAGGGTTTAGGGGTTCAGGCTTGGCTTCCCTAAACCCTAAACCCTAAACACGATGGCGTGTTCCCGACTTGTTTGTGGCTGAGTTTTAGGATTTAGGGTTGTCGAAGGTTCCAGGGTTGTCGAGGTTTCGGAAACAGAACCTCAGAAAAACCAAGCCTGCGAGTGCCAAAACGCACTGGGATGTTTTGGGGTTCAGAGTTAGGGTTTACAGGGTTTAGGCCACCCCTGCCTGGGCGGCCAAACTCCTGTCGGTCGACATCTGGAGGACCTGCTTTAAGGTTTAGGGTTTAGGGTTTAGGGTTTAGGGTTTAGGGTTTAGGGTTTAGGGTTTAGGGTTTCTCGCTCTAGAGTCTGCAGAGGTTTTAGGGCTGGGTTTGCCCAGAATCCAACATAAATTGAAGGTCATTGCTATGGAATTTGTAAGGGATCCTTGCGTATGGACATATCCATCGTTATGTTGGAAAGGAAGTAGCCCTAAACCCTAAACCCTAAAGCCTAAACCTACGTCTTGCAGCCCAAAATTCTCCCCATGACTTCGGGGGAGCCGCCCTCTGCAGCTCACAAGCACAACGCCACAGGGTTTACTCTTCGTGGTCCAGTGACCTAGGTGAACTATAAGTTAACCTTTTGGGATTAAAAGGGGATTATATTACACCAAAAAGGTTAAAGGTTACCTACTCTACTACTAGGTACTAGTATGAGCTTAAGAACCCCTCCAAAGAATAAGACATACTATTATTCTTATAAGGGCAATCTGGGGAATATGTTTTTGTTTAACATTCTTTTGGGGGTCTTAAGCACATAGTAGTTGAGGGTTTCGGGCTGAGGCTTGAGGGCGCTAGAATGAGGGCAAACTGGGAGGTTCACGGGTAGCTACAGCCGGGCCTTTCGTTTAGGGTCTAGGGTTTAGGGCTTAGGGCTTAGGGTTTAGGGGTAGGTCGCCTACTTTGGTGTAACTTGTAACCCAAAACCCAAAAACCTGAACTCCAAAAATCCTAAACCCTACTTCTGACACCACCCTTGAGCCAAAAAAACACGACGCAAGCCCGAAAAGGACTACCCTTAGCCGGCCAAGAAACTTTGTAAGTGCTTAGCTGGTAGCCCTAAACTCTAAATCCTTCAACAAAAAGCCCTAGACCACAAAGCCTCAACAACAAATCCTAGACCCTAAGCGCTAAGCCCTCGGCCCCAAACCCTAAACCCCACACCCTAAACCCCAAACCCCAAACCCCAAACCCCAAACCCTAAACCCTAAACCCTAAACCCTAAACCCTAAACCCTGAACCTCAACTTCCCTAGACGGCACCTCAAGGAGGGCCGGCTCATCTCTCAGCCGGGCCCAAGGCACCCGCAGGCAAAGTGCCTCGCGAGAGGGCTTCGGGATGAGGCTTGAGAGGGTTTAGGGGGTTTAGGGTTTAGGGTTTAGGGCTTAGGGTAGTTTAGGGTTTAGGGTAGTTTAGGGTTTAGGGTTTAGAGGTCTAGGGTTTATAGGGTTTAGAGGCTTTATAGGGTTTAGGGTTTAGAGGGTTTCGGGTGTCGGGCTCAGGGTTTATAAGGGTTTAGGGTTTCTAGGGTTTAGGGTTCAGGTTGTTACGGTGCTGCTCGTTTTCCTGTTATGTTTTCTAAGGGTTGAGGGTTTGGGGTTCTTGGCCGCAGGGACCGCCAAAATAACCCGAAACCCTAAACCCTAAACCCTAAACCCGAAACCCTAAACCAAAACCCAAAACCCAAAACCCTAACCCTGAAATTGCTCCAGGTAGATCACAAGCCACTTGAAGGTTCAAGTGTAGCAAGTGTAGGGTGGCCAATTTCCGGTTGCCCGATCGCCCAGAAGCAACACAAAGTTTAGAGGAGGAGGGTTTAGGGTTTAGGGTTTAGGGTTTAGGGTTTAGGGTTTAGGGTTTAGGGTTTAGGGCTTAGGGCTTAGGGCTTAGGGTTTAGGGTTCGAGCATCGCAAATACATCCTAACCCCCTCCAAGCAGGCACAACTAGTGAGGTGACAGTCCCTACGAATGATCCGGCTTCTGTTTGGGGAATAAGGTTCCCCAAAACGCTACACCCTGAAAAAACCCTAAACCCTAAACCCTAAACCCTAAACCCTAAACCCTTTGGGTTGTCAGAGGGTTCATCGTACCCGAAACAGTTCCAGGCAAAATGCTCATCACCCTGATTCAAGAGCCCCCCCCCCCCCCCGAGCCGATCAACAACAGCAAAGATTAAGTCAAGCTCTGGGTTTAGGGTTTAGGGTTTAGGGTATGTAAGGTGTGAGTGTCACAACACGACTCTTTTACAAGGGCGGCAGCAGGCTGTTGACATCTGGCAGCTGGTTTAGCCGCGCCAGCTCTTTGAGAAGCATGTTGGAGAAAGCCTGGGCCACTCTTCGGGTAGGCAAAGGTTGGTATGCCCACTCCTCCTTCGGAATCAGCCTGCGCGCGGGAGGCGGCCTGAGCCGACCCAACCTGGGCAGCGGAGGTTTGCGCTCCGCGGGTGCCGACGCTGCCTTCACAGGGGCCCCCTTCGAGGTGCCCTTGCCAGAGAGCGTTGGGAACTTCTGCTGGAACCACTCGCGCTTCTTCTGCCGAGCCGTCATCGCAGCCTCCGGCGCTTCCTGCGCCTCCGTCGCAGCCGCATCCGCGAACTCCTCCGTGGGCTCCTGCGCAGGCACGTCGGACGCATCGGTGCATGCGGCACTGCCGGTGTGTGGAAGAGGCGAGGTCTCTCGGACCTCGGCCTGCTTGGGACCCGGCATGGGAGGCTGCACCTGGGAAGGGGCTGGAGAAGGTGGGGAGGGTGCAAGGTCGGGCGCTCGGGTGGGCAGCGCCTCACCTTCCTCTACCTCGTCGCAGCTCCAGTCGATCTCTTCGGGCGCATCCGCATCAGGTTCGGAGACTTCCTCGCCGCCCTCGCCGATCTGGTTGCCCCCTGTGCTCTCCTGAATATGGTGAACACGCTTTGTCTGCTCAACCTCCGGATCAAGACCTTTAGACACTGCATCCAGCCACTCGTGGAGGTCCAAGGTGGCATGGTTCGCTTGGGCCGGGGCGCTGGATTCGCTTGAGAGCCGTGGGGCGCTCGGGGCACTTGGGGCGCTTGGGGCGCGTGGGGCGATTGGGCCTGGGGCACTTGTGGGGCTTGGGGCGCTTGGGCTTGGGGCACTTGGGCTTGGGGCACTTGGGGCACTTGGGGCGCTTGAAGCCATGCCTTCTTCTGACATAGCCTCGGCTCCTACTCCTCTGCGTGCAGCTTTGTGGCCAGCTGGGGCTTGGGGAGCCCTGCAAGACGCAGCTTGCTCTGCCTCCCCTGTACTGGAAGCGAAGTGCTGAAGGCCAGCGTCTCGCGGCAGAACCCTTCGAACCTTGGCTTCACGCGCTTCGCGCGATGTCTCCGACGCCGCCAGTTGTTGCGCTGTCGCCCCACTCCTCGAAAGCTTGTCTTTGGAATGCTGATACCAGGTCCACCTCGCCTCATCCTGGCTCTTGAAGCCGGACGGTGCACGCTTCCTCCGCTTCACCTGAGCTGGAGGGACTTCTGGAGTCGCCGGTTGCGAAGAAACAGCCTGCATCTCCCTCCCTGGCTTTGCTTCCTGGGTGCGCTTTTGGGTTCCGGGGGTTCCGGCTGCCGGTGCCGGATGTCTCCGGCTCTCCAGGTCCCTCTCTTGCTCTGCCACAGCCCGCTCCCTCTTTTGCAGCTCCTGCTCGTGTGCACGCTGCTGCAGGGCTCTCTTCTGCAACTCCTGCTCCTTGTCCTCACCAGGCAGGGTAGCAACACAAACTCGAAGCTCTTTCGATGTCAGGCAGCAAGCTACACGAACCTAGCCCATCACAGCCCATCGCCGCTGTAAGAATAGTTCAAACAACAAAACTCTTCAGGCGAACCATGCGTGGACTGCTATTTGGGGATTTCCAGAAATAGGGGTACCCCTTATATACCCCCTAAAATACTAGAATCCCTTTAAGGGAACCCTATATACCCCCTAAAATACTAGAATCCCTTTAAGGGAACCCTATATACCCCCCAAAATACTAGAATCCCTTTAAGGGAACCCCAAAAAAGGGGTACCCTTATTATGGTAAGCCCCATATGAAGCAGGGTTTATATAATCTTGTATCCCCAAAAGGACACCAAACATATACACTCACCAAGTTTAAAAAGGAACCTTATATACACTCACCAAAAACAGTAATAACCCTAAACCCTAAACCCTAAATAACCCTACTTCATATCGCAGTCCTGCACTCTGCGCTCCAACTCCGTCTCTCGCTTCTGCAGCTCTGCCTTTCTGGCCTTCCAAAGCGAGGGTTTCGGGGTTTAGGGGTTGAGGGTTTAGGAGTTGGGGTTTAGGGTTTAGGGTTTAGGGTTGAGGGTTTAGGGGTTAGGGTTTAGGGTTTAGGGCGCAGGGGCGTCTTCAAGGCAGGTAGACAGTGCTTGGCAGCCCAGAAACCGCATCAGAATAAGGGCACCCTTCTTGGGGTTGGTTACTTACGGGGCCCTCGAACCAAAAAAGGGAAAAGGGTACCACTGGGCTATCAAGTCTTGAAGGCAGGCAGAGGTAGAAGTGTGTGTGTGTGTGTGTGTGTGTGTGTCCCTTTGTGAGCTGTCTGCAACTGCCAGTAGCCTATACTCCCCTTAGAACCTTCATAAAAATATATTTTGATTATCCTCTTGGGTTTTATATAAACAAAAATACAAAATAATTCACAAGGGGGATATAGTAGCTCCGTCTGTTCAGGTCGGTCTGTGGTTCTCGCTGCCTGTGCGAGTGCCTGCCGGTCCCCGTCTGCCTTTTTGCCCGTCTGTTCGAGTTTGTGTTTGCTTGCTTGTTTGCCTGTTAGCACTCGATTGTGCTTGTTCTTTGTTTGTTTGTTTGTTGGTGTATTTGCGTGCGTGCGTGCGTGCGTGCGTGCGTGCGTGCGTGCGTGCGTGCGTGCGTGCGTGGGTGGGTGGGTGGGTGGGTGGGTGGGTGGGTGGGTGGGTGGGTGCGTGGGTGCGTGGGTGCGTGGGTGCGTGGGTGCGTGGGTGGGTGTGTGTGTGTGTGTGCGCCCCTCTCTATCTCTCTCTTTCTACCACCCATGTGCCATGATTCTCCATGCCTAGGATATGAAATTACAGCTTCGGCACTACTGCCCCACCCCCCGTTTTTCAACACGAGGTACCTAAACCCTAAACCCTAAACCCTAAACCCTAAACCACTCCGAACCTTCGGATCCCTGAAGCGCGTGGCCAAAAGGAACCTCAACGAAAACCCCGCGAACCACTGCTGTGGAACCCTAAACCCTATAACCATGAGGACTAAGGAATTTCAAAGAGGAAACCCTTATAAGGAACCCCAGGACGTATGTAGTTGTCTTTTTGCTTGTTGTCTTATTGTGCTTTTTGTTTTATCATTTTTTTTTTGGGGGGGGGGGGGGGGGGAGGGGGCAACTTTCGTATCTAAAGACAAAGAAAGCACCCCAAACCCTAAACCCTAAACCCTAAACCCTAGACCCTAATTAAACCCTAAACCCTCCCTAAGATCTCCCTTTGGGAGGTCCTGGGTGGCGAGCTCGAAGTCCGTCTCGCGCTGCTGCAGCTCCGCTTTTTTGGCCTTCCGGTTTCGGGTTTAGGGTTTAGGGAGATTTTCTCACCCTTTGGCTCAAAATAGCCCAACAACTTCATGTAGCATGGCATTCAAGCCCCAAAAGCCTTACAGTACGCGTCCTTAGACCTTAGGGTTTACGGTTTCGGGTTAGAGCCTTACTTTAAGGGCCAGAGTTTTAGTTGGCATACAGGCACTAGCCATGGCAAAAGCATGACGCTGCATCAAGGACAGATGTCATCATATGTCCTCTGCCAATGTATCTGCAACCCTACACCCTAAACCCTAAGCCCGAAACTCTAAACCCTAAACCCTAACACGAAACGCTGATGGATGTTCTTGTCGCTGAGAGCGGGGTTGAAGAAGGGGGGCTACAGCGCCCGTTCAAGAAAATCTGGGTGCATCGCAATGCTCGTGCAGAACCTAAAGCCCTGAAGCTTATGTCGTACATGAGCATCTTGCTACACCTACTCCAGGGTGACTCGACTTTGGAAAGACCCATGTAAACCCGGATTCCTAAACGCTGAACCCGAAACCCTAGACCCGAAACCCCCCAAACCCCAACCCCTAAACCCTAAACCCTGAACCCTGCACGGGTGGCCAACCGAAAGGAGGACAGGGACTATCACCCCGAAAGGCAGCCAGATTATTTTCCCCCGGACCAACCAAGATCAACCCAACACAGAAGAACCCGAGAAGGGAGAAAGGGCTATCCTTGCCTAAGCACCAGGACACCGACCCCAACCCCAACCCTGAGGGCACTACTTTTTGACTTTCAAGACGCTTTGTCTTGGCCATCTTGAGCCAAGTAACCACGGGTTTTCAACCCTTTCCAACAACTCCTTCCAATACCAATACCCTCTCCGCAGCCTAAACCCCAAGCCTCCAGGTCCCTTTCCGCAGCTCGCAGCTTCTCCGCATCCTTCTTCAGCGCCTGCTCCCGGGAATCCTCTGCAGGGTTTCTACGGGCTTAACAGGGTTTAGGGTTTAGGGTTTAGGGGGTTTCTAGGGGTCGAGTCGGAGTGGTCGTAGGGTTTTATCCAAGTGGGGTGTATAGAGACGACGGGGGGGTTTTGTAAGAGAGGACTATAAGCAGGGTCTGCGTTCGGCAGGGTTCAGGGTTCAGGGTTCGGGGTTTAGGGTTTAGGGTTTAGGGTTACCCCAAACCCTAAACCCTAAACCCTAAAAGCTCTCAGCTTTGCAAGACAGGAGGAGCCCACGAGGCAGCACCAACTGCTCTGCAAGCGATTACTTGAAGGTTCAGGGCACTTCGTAACCCATTACCAGTGTAGTTATAAGCCACATGTGGGTAGTTGTCAAAATTAGGGTACCTTGTTGGACACCCTAAATATCAGGTGCCGTACGATATTAGGGACCCCAAAAGGGACAATCATTTTGACAACCACCCATGTAAGCCCCTTAAGTACCCTAATAGGGTTATAATAGGCTTAGAAGTACAGTTATAAGTGGGATACTAAGTACCATGAACGTCCCCAAGTAGGGTTACCCAGAGTAACCCCAAAAGGGTACCCTTATAACCCTATGGTTACTGGGCTAACAAGGATTTGGGGTCAGGGGATTTGCTACCATTTGCTTAAGAACCCCCCGCCTCCCCTTATTACAAAATAACTTCATAATAAGGTTAATATGGGGATCATCATCTTTTGTTTTGTTCTTCTTCTTTTTTGGGGGAGGTTCTTAAGCAAATAGTAGCCCCTTGAGGACCAAATGAGCCCTAAAAGGGTATAGGAAAGGGTTCTGTGACCCCAATAGTGGGTCCCCAAGGCCTGTCACCGTAAAGACAGGGGAAATAGGCCCACTAGAGCATGTCCGCTTTGAAGGGTATGGAGGGTCCGTCCTTCTGCTGAGTCTCACGCGCCCGAGACTCCACCAGCATCTGCCGTGCAGGGCGACAGTTACCCATGAATGAAAGGGCACTTTGCCCTGGTTTGTAGGGTTGAGGGTTGTAGGATTTATAGATCGGGATCTTCCCCCCCTATACTAACAGTCTGAGGACTGGTAGTACAAGGCGGAACATCCCAAGTTGTAGGGTTTATAGAGGTCCATCAAGGCTTTACGGATGTTCCTGGGACTTATCAGTGTGCAGGTTCCCCCCCCCCCCCCCATTGGCCTTCGGGGGGAACCGTTTGGCTGAAGTGAGCTCAGAGGAATCCGAATACCAGGATACAACGGTACTACGGAGGGGGCATCCTATCCTCGTTTCTTGGTTTTGCTTTTGTTTGGGGGGGTCTTCTTATCAACTCCGTTCAGTTCGTAATCAACAGGCATGGGGGCTCTTTGGGAAGTCAGAGAAAGGCTCGTGGGAGGTAGAGACTTAGGAGCTCAGCAAGGCTTAGGGTTGGGGCGTACAGGGCTTGGGGTTTAGGGTTTAGGGGCCGCCCGATTTGGAGATTCATGATTAGATTAGCGTCTAGGATTTCGGGCTAGTGTCGGGTACGAGAGGTTTCGGCGAGACACCCAAAAACTTCTCATGAATCGACAAGTACCTGGACAAGAATACTTGTCTTGTCCCAACAAGTATAGGATCTCCCTGACAAAATCATTGCCCCTGGTTTGCCGAATTTTGCCGGTACCCGAGACCCTCGCACCCTAAGGAAACGCAGTAGATCCCCAAAGTAGCTAACCTATGGGCCGTTCTCTAAATTAGGATTTTCTTTGGGTCCTTTCTAAAAAGGCGCCGGACTATTCGGGAAACTTGAAGAAGGGAATCTACTTTAGAGGACTACCCATATGGCCCCTCTCGCAGTCAGCTCTCTGGCCATGTGCCAACGACACCCTAAACCCTAAACCCTAAACCCTAAACCCTAAACCCTAAACCCGAAACCCTAATTGGGGGGACTCGGAGTTGGAGTGAGAACTCAAGCACCATAAAGGTTTCAACGGTTTGGGATTCAGGGGTTTAGGCTTTAGGGTTCAGGGCCCTAAACCCTAAACCCTAAACCCTAAACCCTAAACCCTAAACCCTAAACCCTAAACCCTAAACCCTAAACCGTTTCAACGTTTAGGCTTTCGTGTTCAGGGTTATGGGAGCTTGAGGTCGCCTTTCTGTGGGAGGGCATGCAGCTCAGAGAAACCCTAAACCCTAAACCCTACGTCCTAAACCCTAAACCCTAAACCCTAAACCCTAAACCCTAAACCCTAAACCCTAAACCCTAAGCCCTAAGCCCTAAGCCCTAAGCCCCAAACTTTGGGGGAGCTTTGTGGACCGGCGCTTCGGCTGACTAAGTGGAACGCTCCCTGAACCTAAGCCAGAAAGCGGGTCAGGCGGGTTCGGGGTTAACATGAGCCCATTCCTCTTTTCCATTGCTCTAAGATTTTGGCGCTCTGCAACTAAAACTCACCAGTTCAACTTTGGGCAAGGGTTTAGGGTTTAGGGTTTAGGATTTAGGGTTCAGGGCTTAGGGTCTCGTGATGAGTTCAGGACTTGCCTCGCAAACCAGGAAGCCTTGACTTCGCATCTCTGCACGCAGCTGGGCCAGCTCCTCCAGCTGCTTTGGGTTTAGGGTTTAGGGTTTAGGGTTTTTAGGGTTTAGGGTTTAGGGTTTAGGTTACAGGTTTAGGATCCAGCTGCTTTGGGTTGACTTCGGGGGGGGTGGGGGGGGGGGGGGGGGTCATATTTATCTCCTTCGTTGAGGAATATATATATATATATGTGTATATACCTATACCCTAAACCCTAAACCCTAAACCCTAAACCCTTTGAAAAAAAGGGGCAGGGTTCTAGGGATTGGGGTTCAAGGGTTTACGGTTTTAAGCCTCTGAGAGGGCATGGTGGGGCTGCAGGGTTTTCAAGTTAGGGTTTAGGGTTTAGGGTTTAGGGTTTAGGGTTTCGGGTTTCGGGTTTAGGGTTTAGGGTTTAGGGTTTCGGGTTTAGGGTTTAGGGTTTAGGGTGCTGTTGTGGCGCCTAGGTTTGAAGTACTCTCATTGGGAAAGTAAGTATGGCTCTCCAACTTCTAGAGCAGCCATGTACCTTCAAGACCCAGACCCCTGGGAGATTCCCAATTGTACAACCCCCCCCCCCCAAAAAAAAAAAAAAAAAAAAAACAAAAACAAGGTTTAGGGTTTAGGGTTAGGGCACTACTATTGGGTCATTTTTTGGAACCCTCAAGGGGATCTACTTTTCGATCCTCCCAGGAGTCTGGGGAAGGAGTGCCCACGAATTATTAAGGTACGTTTCCTTGGGTCCTAAAGGTTAGCTACTCTATGTATAAACCCTGAACCCGAAACCCGAATCCTTCTGCAAGGAGTCTTGAAGTCTTACCCTTAGGCTCAAAAATCTGTATAGGGAGGGTGTTGGGCCCGAAAAACCGAAAAGAAGAGTCCTGAGAGCCTTAGGGTTAAAGGGTTGCTCAACCCTAAACCCTAAACCCTAAACCCTAAACCCTAAACCCTAAAGCTCCCGGACCTCAAACGGAACGTCGGCGGATGGCGGAGTTCCCTCCCCAAGCCGGGTCTTTGTCTAGGGGTAGGAATCAAAAGGGTACCTTGGGTTTAGGGTTTAGGGTTTAGGGTTAAGGGTTAAGGGTTTAGGGTTTTGAGGGGATTATAAGGGAACCCCAACCTAAAAGGAAATGAGGGGCCCACTCCGGGTCCTAGTTGTCCAGGGGTTCAAGGGTTTCTGGGGTTAGGGTTCGGAAGGGTTTAGGAGTTTGGGGGGTTTAGGAGTTTGGCCGGGGTTAAGGGGGCTAAGGGTGTCGGAGCCTTTTGGGTGGGATGAGGGTGTTTGTTAGGTCGAGGGGCCAAGGGTTGAGGGGTTTTAGCACAACTTCCCTAAACCCTAAGCCCTAAACCCTGAACCCTAAACCCTAAACCGCTTCTGTATTTGAATGCTCATGGGTGGCGAGTGCTCGAAGTAGGGTAGCATGTGCAACCAGTAATGACCTATAGCCGGGGTTACACGATTAGGGTTTAGGGTCTAGGGTTTAGGGTTTAGGTTTTAGGGCTTTCAAAGCAGGGGGGAGTGTCAGAGTAACCGGGACGAGGAAGCGTGATTTTGTCTCAAGGGTGTAGCAAAAATATCGCAGCCAACAAGGGGGAAAAAAGACACTACCGGGTCTCCGTATCCTAGACTACTATTCACCTAAGAACTCCAAAAACATGGAAACTCCCTATATTGGGCTTGTAAGGAGGATTATTTTTCGTTTTATTATTTTTTTGGCCGGGGGGGGGGGGGGGGGGAGATTCTTAAGCAATGAGGAAGTAGTAGACATGTCTATATGGGACTGTGACTCTTCTCGCAGACATTGCACAGCATACCCAGCAGGATCAATCAGCGAACCCCTCCTCCCCCCCCCCCCCCCCCCCCCCCAATTTTCGCAAGCAATCATTTGATTCCACCTACAGGGCCCACACATTGAGTCCTAAACCCTTATCAGACACAACCCAAACCCTACGCCCTGGCTCGAAACCCTAAACCCTAAACCCGACATCCGCCTGGCGCTCCGCTGTCATCTCGGCCTAGGTTGCTCGGCAACCCCCAGGCAAAAGGGTTTAAGGTTTAGGGTTTAGGGTTTAGGGTGAAAAGGGCATACTTGTTGGGTTGACCGTAGTCTAGTAGGAACCCAGACTGGGTTCAGGGTTTAGGGTTGAGGGTTTAGGGTTTAGGGTTTAGGGTTTGGGGTTTAGGGTAAAACAAGCAGACACTACCGTGAGAGTCAATATTCCGGGGGGCCAGTCTTGAAAGGACACTGGGCGACTACAACCCCAAACCCTTAGAAAACCTAAAACCTTGAACCCTTCCATAAGAGCCCGAAACCCTAAACCCTAGACCCTAGACCCTAAGACCTAAGACCTAAGACCTAAGACCCTAGACCCTAGACCCTAGACCCTAGACCCTAGACCCTAGACCCTAGACCCTAAACCCTAAACCCTAAACCCTAAACCCTAAACCCTAAACCCTAAACCCTAAACCCTAAACCCTACCTAAACCCTAAGCCCAGGCTCATTGGCCAGCGACAGCACGCCCTCAAGCTCCCCCTGAAACTGTCGGAGCTCCTCGTGCGGCATTTGATTACGGCGTCAGCGCCATCATGGCTTCGCAAACTCCAAACCCTCAAACCTCAAACCCTTACGGTTTGGGGTTTAGGGTTTAGGGCTTAGGGTTTAGGGTTTAGGGTTTAGGGTTCAGGGTTCAGGGTTCAGGGTTTAGGGTTTAGGGTTTAGGCTTTGGGGTTTAGGGTTTAGGGTTTCGTGCACATCTAGGGTTTAAACCCTAAACCCGGAGCCCCAACCCTATATAGACCGCAGCTGGGTCCAGGCTCTTGTTCGGGGTAGGTACGGCTTAGGGTTTAGGGTTTAGGGTTTAGGGTTTAGGGTTTAGGGTTTAGGGTTTAGGGTTTAGGGTTTAGGGTTTAGGGTTTAGGGTTTAGGGCGTAGGGCTTAGGGTTTAGGGTTTAGGCTCAGGGCTGTCAGGATTCTACATTGAGGGCTTTGGTGTCTTCATGGTTTTCAGGGTTCGAAGTTTGGCATTTTTTGTGGGGGGTAGGTAGGTCTTAGGGTTTAGAGTTTAGGGTTTAGGGTTTCGGGTTTCGGGTTTAGGGTTTAGGGGGGGGGGGGGGGGGGGGGGGGGGGCGTCCTCGTTCATCTCGGCCTCCCAACACTTGGCTCGGCGTTCCATCTTGGACAGCCTGGAGCGGGAAAGAGTGTGACCCTTGTGCTTAGGGGATTAGGGTTTAGGGTTTAGGGTTTCGAGTTGGGATGTTCCCGTAATAGGGATTATAATAGGGGGAAACAACAAGAGGAAGAACGGCCTTCTCTGGGTAGCTTGCAACCACCCCCCCCCGCCCCCTAAACCCCAAAACTTAAACCCTATAAACCCTAAATCCCAAGCCCTAAGCCCCGAACCCTAAACCCAAAACCCTAAAACCCTAAACCCTA